CTAGTGATGGGAAACTGGTATAGATGTTTATTTGAAAAATGTTTCAGTGAAAAAAAATTTAAACCAAATTCTGTAGTCTCAAAAATAAAAGACCTTTCATTCATAAAGGCATAAAAATTTTCAAAAACCAAAATCCCATGTGAATTTTAAAGGTTGTATTTCTGGCATCTCAATTTTTCTGTTAATAGAGGAAGTACTTTTCCCCAAATTTTCCTGCTTTTTCTTTCTTTCCTCTTGTCTTTAATTGTCCTTTTTGCTCGCTGGCTTCCTACACTTGATCTTAGCCAAGAGGCCAAGAAGCGATTGCTGGCTACCTTTCCCCTGCATGTTTTTGCTTATTCCTTTCCCTCCATCTCCTTTTCCTTGGTGGCTTGGGTGTCCCTTCACTCTGGCCCAGGACTCGGACCTGGAGAAGCCTCAAATCCCTCTGTAGGGCTTCAATCTTGGCTCTGGTCCTGCGTGCAGGGTCCAGAGCAGTCTGACCTGCAGGGGGGCGGGTGGGAAAAGGAAGGAGGCCGAGATAGGGACAGGTAATCTTCCAACGGGAACCTTGACTCTCTCCTAACAAAAGGGGGACAGTTCCCTTTTGTCTGAGGCTTCTGAGGGGCGTGTCCAGGCTGTCTGCTGCTACAGTGGCCTAGGGGGCAGGAGGGGGGGTGCCTGAAGTGTTTCTGAAGGACCCAGAGCAACCCTAATGGGGAAAGTACCCTAATAGGGTAGAGAGCATCTGCCCTCTCTCCCCTAGTACAGTTTGTCTGAATGCCCGGCAGCCCTCCGGGAAGGCTAGGGCTGGGGAGCCAGCAGCCCTGCCCTGCAGACAGAAGGAGAGCAAGGCCTACGGGTCCCAGCTCACCTTCAAGGTTACAGCCCCAGTATAGGGAAGGACAGTTGATGATCACTCTCCCCCAACGGGCTCTTTGTGAATCCCCGAGGCCTCTAGACACTCCTCTGCTCCCCATCCAGATCTCTGGGCTCCCCCTTGGACCTCTGACCCCTTCCCCTCTCCCTGCACCTCACCAGGTTCCCTTAATGTCTTGATGCCCTTCCCGTGCCATCTCCCAGCTGTGGGACTGTTGCCGCCCCCATATCTGGCTGTGCCACCCAGCCTCAGAGTCAACCCATGCAGAGCACATCTCTTCCACCACTGCCGTGGTCTATGAGAGGGAACATGCCAGCTTTTGCCAGGAGGCTCACGTTGGCCATTTTCTGTTCAGTGTCTAATATTTAGCATAATCAGAATACCAGAAAGACACCCCCATGCCAATTACGAAGTCACTTGCAGTTTTTATGGCCTCATCTTGACTTTAGAAAGTCAAATTGCTTCCTCAAGATGGGGAGGCAGGACTTGGTACCTTGTATTGCTATGCTCACGTCTCTGGCTGCTTGGACCAAAGCTGGTTACTAATAGGACGTGAATTATTGAACACCTGAGAGTCCTGTGGGTGACAGCACCTGCCTCCTGCACCGTCACTTCCGTCTCTCTCAGGCTCAGCCTTGGGCTCACCTCACTGGAATGACCATTCTGGGTGCGGGGTTCCACCTGCAGGGCAGCGGCAGCACCTCTCCCATTGTCAGGGCACAGCACTGGCCCAGAGCGGGAGGTAGTTTTGACACAGCCCAGGCACTCTTCCCGAGAACCTGGGCGCAGACTGAATGGAAAGGCCCCACAATGCAGGGGTTGGAGGGGAAGAAAGGGGTGAATGAGCAGTGACCTTTTTTCCTTTGCCAGCTGAGGGCTGGGCCCTGGGAGAGGGTTCTAGCAGGATCAGGTTGCTGTCTCTGTCTGTGTTACCGTCCTTCTGTCCTGCTTTTCCTTTCGTTTTGTACCTGGCTCCTCTGCACTGCTTTCTCCAGGCCTTAAGGCTTGGCTGCTCAATAGTCCTAACTGAAGGGGTCCTCCAAAGACTTGGGGCCTTCTTCCCCAGTACTCAGCCTCCTTATCAGCTGGGAAGAAAGCCCAAGCTAGAGATCTGGGGGCTTGGGGAGCTCTCCCCTGCTGCCACCTGGGTCCTGACTTAATCTCTTCAGGTGTCCCATCTTTCCTGCTAGAGCCTCTGCTTCTCCTGTGGTCCTGTCTTAGCTGTCTGCCTCTTTCATTCAGCGTCTCATTTTGTTTTTGCAGCTTGCACTTTACTTGGGGCCTTTTAGTCTGGATCGATTTGGGGGACAGGTCAGGTAACTAATCTGAGATCGAAAGGAGAGGGCAAAGCTAGAGAAGGCCAAGAATTAAACATTGGGATGGAGAGGGCAGGAGGTGTCAGAAACCAGTGCTTCTGTTGAGAGGTAGTGTCCATCTTTCCGCCTTTGTCACTTCTCCCAGTGCTGGCTGTTGTGTTTGTGGCTGCGTACAGTGCTTGTCAGCACAGTGCTGTGACAGGAGGCTATTTTAATAAACTGTTGCAGCCTCGCGAGTAGAGCTGCATTGCGTTGGCATCCCCCGTCACCACTAATGGAGTTGTGCGTGGCTGGGTGTGGGCCGAGGACGGCTGCCGAGCCTGCTGGGGGTGGGAAGAAGGGGAGGAGGTTGGGGTGCTGCTCCCACCTCCAAAGGTTGGCCACACCCTGGGCGCCCAGTCCCTGCCCTGGAAGTGCTGCTGGCATGGGCACTTTCTGAGCTCTCTTTCTTCTTATTTCTATTCATAGCACTGCAGGCTCTGTGTATGGCCGGAGAGAAAACTTCCACTCGCCCCTGTGTGCTCCATAAATTAAAAAAAAAAAAAAAAAGAAAAGAGCTAGAACCAGAAAAAGAGAGAGCAAGACCCAAAAAGAGAGTGTGCGGGCCGAGAGAAAGACTGAAACCAAAACACAGAGAGAAGGCGCAGCTGCTTTCCCCAAGGCCTTCTGGGGCTCCCGCCCGCCAGCCCGCCCGGAGTCAGGCCTTTATTTATTTATTTTTCTGGTTTAAAAAAAAATTCCGCATCTTCCTCAATCCTAGCCCCCCCACCGTACCCCACCCCCGAATTTGCTGGGTGACTGCTGCCAAATGGACCCGAGTGGAAGCCTGGAATGAAAAATTCATAACTGCTGGACTTTGCTTGTTCATTAGACGTGAACTTGTCGATTGGGCAAATTGTTTTTGGTCTCCAACTGCCGGGGGCTCTCCCTACCCTCCCGCTCTCCCGGCTCCCTCCTCCCCTTGCGAGCAGCCATTGGCTACTTGCGGAGGTCTCTCAGCCAAATAGGTGGATCCTTCGCTCGCTGGCGCTCTCTCTCTTTCTCTCCCTCTCTCCCTCTCTCCCTCTCGCTCTCTCTCTCTCTCTCCCTCCCTCCCTCTCTCGTTCCCTCCCTTCCTTTCTCCCTCTCCCTCCCTCCCCCTTTTTTTTTTTTTTTACTGGCTTGGCAAGAGCAAATGGATGGGGATTGAGCATGAAAGGGGAGAGAGAGGGAGTTTGAGAGAGAGAAAAGGAGCAACAAAACCCCCAAAAGCCAGCACATACACTCGCGCGCACACACTCATGCACCCTCACACACACTCGCGCGCGCGCGCGCGCGCACACACACACACACACACACCCCCATCCCATCCCATCCACGTCCTCCTCGGATCCTCGGTCTCTCCCTCCCCCTTTCCTCCCTCCCTCGCTCCCTCTCTCTTCTGCACGCGTCTGCCAGCAACGGTCTGCAGCCGGTCAGAACTCGTCCTTTTCCCCGGGAATCTGCGAGCTCCCCCTTTTCCTCCGATCTGGCGGAGGGAGGCAGCTCGAAGTTTACACCCCTGTGCCGCTGCCAAAGCCGAAAGCCTTTTTCTTCAGCTGCCGCTTTTTTCTCTCCTGGTTTTTGTTTTTGTTTTTGTTTTGCACGGGGGTGGGGCAGGGTGCGTTGTTGTGGGAAAGGGGAATGGTGGGAGGTTGGTTTTGATTTTTAAATTTTGCATATTTTTGTTTTCTTTTTTTTAAACTGAAAGAGGATGCACAGGGGGAAAAATTGAAAAAAAATTTATGTTGGCTTTTGTTTACCTGGCGTGTGTGTGGCAACCAGTTCGCTCCCTCTCTGCTTGCTATCCCTGACCTTTCTTTCTTTTTGCTCCTTTTCAAAAAAAATATTAATTTCCCCCTTCTGTGCAATGGAGCGTGGGGGGGTGGAGGGGGAAGGGTTTGAGAATCCACCCAAGCCCGGCCCCTATTCCCCAGAACACCAATAATAACCCCCTTTAAAACATTTACCTTCCTCCCCTGCTCCTCCTCCTCCCCTCCCCCACCCGCCCCCAACTCACAACTCTGTTGAGTCCAGAATCTCAGAATCGAGCGTTGGGCTTGGCCGGGTGCTTCAGATCAATGGTAATTATTTAATTTTTTCCAGTTTTATTTTTGTAAACAGAAATCAATTATTTAACTTCAAAACAAGCAAAAAAAAAAAAAAACCCCAAACCGAGAGCCCAGCCCTCTGTCACCTGAGTGGGAAAGAGGGTGAAGGGGTCGTGGGAGGCTGGGGAAGGGACCGCAAGCCGACCCGGTAGCTTTAACCCTAATGTGGCCGAGACAACCACCTTGTTTGTGCTAACATGAAGTGTTTTGTTCATTATTACTGTGATTAACATTAGTATCGGTGTTGATAACAAAGCTGAAATCACATATTTAGGATTTAGGTCTGATTAAAAAATGCTGGGGTGGATGTTCCAACTGTATCAGGAGAAAAGAAAATGAAAACAGCCTGAGGAGAGGGAACCCAGAGCCGGTTCCTTGATTGCTCGTGGATGTCATCCCAGTCTTCTGGGGCAGCCAGAGCGGGCCAGTGTCTGGACAGGGACAGGAAGCGGCCCCGCGGCCCCTCGTGAGCCTTCATGGGGAGTCTGTGCAGACGAACGCAGCGCGGGTGCGCTGACACGAGTTCACGGCCGCGATCGAACATGGAGATGTCATGGGCGCAACAGAGCCTGGCGGGGAGACCAGCAGAGTGTGTGTGTGTGGACGGCAGTGTTGTCTGTGTGCGCGCGCGTGTGTGTGAGTGAGGGAGAGAGAGGGAGAGAGAGAATAGGTGTGTGGACAGGCTCCTGGTGCCTCTGTCTGGCTGCTGAGGCTGAGATGGGAGCAAGCGGCTGGCGAAGCTGGCGGTGGCTTCAAACCACACTTTTGTAGAACAATCGCAAGAGAAAATTGTTGGGGGGAGGGAGGAGGAGGAGAAGGCGGTTTTCTTCGTGCCCCCCCTTCTAACGCTGCTTTTCTCCTTCTCTCTTTCCCCCTCATCCCGTCTTCCCCTCCTCCCGTCCTCCCTCGCCCCGCATGCTCCCGGCTTGCCGCCTGCAGGATGAGTTCCACCCGTTCATCGAGGCGCTGCTGCCTCACGTCCGCGCCTTCTCCTACACCTGGTTCAACCTGCAGGCGCGAAAGCGCAAGTACTTCAAGAAGCACGAGAAACGGATGTCGAAAGACGAGGAGCGGGCGGTGAAGGACGAGCTGCTGGGCGAGAAGCCTGAGATCAAGCAGAAGTGGGCATCCCGGCTGCTGGCCAAGCTGCGCAAGGACATCCGGCCCGAGTTCCGAGAGGACTTTGTGCTGACCATCACGGGCAAGAAGCCCCCCTGCTGCGTGCTCTCCAACCCCGACCAGAAAGGCAAGATCCGGCGGATTGACTGCCTGCGCCAGGCCGACAAGGTGTGGCGGCTGGACCTGGTCATGGTGATTTTGTTTAAGGGGATCCCCCTGGAAAGTACTGATGGGGAGCGGCTCTACAAGTCGCCCCAGTGCTCGAACCCCGGCCTGTGCGTCCAGCCACATCACATTGGAGTCACAATCAAAGAACTGGATCTTTATCTGGCTTACTTTGTCCACACTCCGGGTAGGTTGCTCTCAGCCTTTCTCCCCCCATTTGATTTTCCTTGCTGGGATTTGTTCTATTTATTGTTCCTCTTATTGTAAAGGATAACATGCCGAGGGCCTAGCCAGTGTGCCCTGGCTCTCGGCTCTCCACACTCATCACATTCTCTCTTCCCTTCCCTGTCTCCCTCTACCCTCTCTGTTCTCCCTTAGTAGCTCCCTTGACATGGTACCCACTTTGTACGTCTCCATCTTTGGAGGACTTGTTGGTCCGAAAGATACTGCAGTCTTAGGAGGCGGCCAGGATCTCTCCATCCATGACGGTGAGAGTTTGAGGCTGACAGAAAGATCAATCTTTGCTCTCATTTGAAATGAGTCAGAGGAAGGATCCGAGAGTAGGTGCTAGCTTTCCTGAGGCTTCACAAGTCCCAGGAAAAGCTGGATTTGGCACCAGCCGGGTGGGCAGCAGTTCGGTGGAGAGAGGGGCATGTGAAATCCCCTCAGAGGAGACTGAACAAACAGAAAAGAGGAGAAGAGGCAGCCAGCCGTGGGCAGGTTCTGGGCCCCAGATGCCCAGTTGGGAGCTGTATTGCCTGGGATTGGGATTTGAAAAGCTTGAAAGTAATTTGATTTCAGAGAGAGAGAGAGAGAGAGAGAGAGAGAGAGAACAAGCAGGGGATCCCTTGGGCTTCTCTCCCCCTCACCTTGGTTGACCAAAGTGGCGAGACTCCAGGATGCCAAGACCCTAGGATGGGTGCCTAGACCGAACCAGTCTACTGGAGAACAGGCCTAGTGGGAGCAGTTGCTGTGGAAGAGGTCTAAAACAAACAAAACCTTTAAAACCTCCTTTCTCTTTTGTCTTCTAAGTAGTTTTACTTCTCAGCTTTGCTTTTCCAGCCTTACCCTGCATTTTGGGTCGGTCTGGCTTAGTTCTCTTCCTTTGGTCCTTTTTATTTTCCCCCCTCTCCTTTCCCTTTTTATAATTTCTTTCTGCTTTTGTTTTCTTACAAATTGAAACAGAGATGGCTGGTTAATTTTTAGCCTCCACTCAGCTACGCCCAATTTACTGCCGCCTTTGAAACCTAAACGGGCAGCACTCTGTGATTAAGCAAGGCAGAAGTGTTTACATTATGCCCAACCAACTTGTAATGAGAGGGCTACCAAACCTTTCTCTGTGTGTGTGTGTGTGTGTGTGTGTGTGTGTGTGTTTCCCTTATTTCCCTTCTTCTTTATGCGAATGTAAGAGAATGTGGCTTCTTGTCAACTCTCACAAATGTTCTTCCTGTGAGTGTGTCTCTGTGTCTTCCTGTCCATTCACAAAAAAGAAAAGTGACTCACAATTACTGTGGTCACCCCCTTGCCCCTTGGGAAGTTGGGAATGATACAATTGGACCCAGAAATAAAATCTGGGGGGGTTGCTTTCACAGACATAATTTCTCTCTCTGCGAGCGAACACCAAAGGTGTATATTGGAGAGCTCTAGGGAGGAAAAAGTGGCATTTCGGGTCTCTCCTGGTGTTCCTTCTCTTCCATTCTGTTCTAAGAGGTGGACACTACCCCAGGCCCTGCTTACCTCCGTGGCTCTTTCAGGGCCTGTGTCTGTGACTGTCATCACCCCTCATACAAAAGGTCCAGGGGCGGCCACTCCTTCCTCCCTCAGCTTTGATATTTTTTCCCTTCATCATTTATCTTTTTAGACGAGACTAATAGGGAAAAGTTACCCTTCATTCTCTTGTCAGGAGGGTGTGCCCTGGGGCTATTGGAGGAGCCTGGGGACTGTTGGAACCCAGAGCTGGCCAGGGTGTCCATCAGATAGTACCCAGGAGGGGATTCTGCACCTTCTGGTTTTAGAACTCAGAGTTCAAGAACGTCTGTGACAAAAATCCGTACTTGTCTTCCTCCTCCCCCTCTGTCTGGGTCCTGTATCTGAGTGGCTTCCCTGGCCTCTTATTGTAGGCCAGGTTCTTGGCCGCTGCCGGTGTGGGGCTGAGGTAGGAGGAAGTGAGTGTGATGAAGGGCATGGTTTTCTGGCTGGCCTCCTGGGTCCTGAACTGACCAGGCAGGTGTCAGGGAAGCAATGTCCCCAGCTCCCCACTAATGAGATCACTCACCCAGGAATATGAGTGAATTCATACCCTCGCTCACATGGCCAAGGCCACCTCTTGTCCCGGCTAAGGCTGATCGCTGCACTGCAGAAGAGAGAACTGAGGAAATGCTTTCTATAACTCAGGCCCCAGACTCCACATAGTGTCACTGAGTGTACGAGTTTTCTTGCTGGGATTGCTGGAATTTCAGTGTGCTTTTCCAGAGAAAATGTGGGAGCGTTGGCATGGCCCTATGCTTGTTCCTCTTTGCACTGGGCGGAGGTCTTTTGATGGTGTCATGTAGGCATAGCGTCCTTCTTCCTTCCATAGCCATCCGGTTTGCTAGAAAATGTCTTCTGGCTGAGCCATCCCATGACATTGATTCTTGGCGTAGCCTTCCCAGAGCCCAGGCCCTCTGAATATCCCCAGCAGGGCAGCCACTTGTGCCTTTTCCCAGGCTAAGTGGGGCAGGGGCTGGGGTGGCTGGAACTCAGGTAAGAGCAGCTTTGGACTCTGACAGGGTTAGTTTTTGCATCCTTAAAGCTGGAGGCTAAGGCAGGAAGATCACAAGTTCGAGCCCAGTGTTGGCAACTTGGCAGTTTACCAAGGCACTGTCTCAAAATAGAAAGGGCTGAGGTGTAGTTCAGTGCAAAGGCACTGAGTTTGATTTTCAATATTGAAAACAAAACAAAAAGAAACAGAAGCGTTAGGTCTGGGCTGAGCTGGTGGTGCTGGGCTTGATGATAGCCTGATCTGGTAGTGAATGTGCAGAGGTGGCTTTGCTCCCAGCTGCCATTGTCACTCATAGCCCTCACAGACCCTTGTTATGACCCAGGGAAGGTTTTAAGAGATGACACAGTTTGGAGGAGTAAAGGGTGGTATACGTATAGCTTTGAGAGCTCTGCTCCCAGAATGCAGAATCCTGACCTCCTGTCCAGGAAAGAATCTCAGCTTGCGTCTCTTTGCCTTTTGGAAGGGAAGTTGAGGCAGGGCAGAGTAGTGAGTCCTGCCACAGACAGACAGGAGGACAGCCATTTCCTGGTGACGTCCTTCCATCCAAAAGCAGTGTCCCAGGGCAGGTGGCGGGGCAGGGAGAGCGGGAGTGGGCGGCAGGGGCCTCTGCTTGTGTGAGCCTGGGCAGCTAAGCAGGACTGGAAGTGATGCTAGGCCGTCTCCAGAGCTCCTGCAGATCTTCCCTGACCCTAGACTCTGGTCCTGGGAAATCCAGAAAAAGCCAAAACTGATGAAATGTGTGGCTGAACGGAGCTGTCAGCTTCTCCCCGTCAGTCCCTCCAGTGGGCCCTCCATGGAAGGCCCATCAAGCCTAGGCATTCTTGGGTAAAGGAAGGTAGCTTCCTCCTTTACCCAAACTTTTTGGGATGGAGACCCCCTCACTCCCATCACTAGTGCAACAGTCCCCAACTCAGGGCCAGTCTCCATTCACCTGTCCCCACTTTCCCAGCACTGGGTTGTCTAGAAGAAGTCCAGGCATCATAGCCTTTTCTTGATAAACATTCCTGTGCACATCTCTGAAGATAAGGGCTCTTGAAGAACTGAACCAAATACCACTATCACGCCCACAGAAAAGGCAGTGATTTCCCTCCCTCCCTTCCCTTCTTTTTCTTTTTTTCTTTCTTTTTCCTTCCCTTTCCTCTTCCTTCCTTCCCTCCCCTTCCCTCTCCTGCTTCCCTCCCTCTCTTCTCTCTTCTCTCCTCCCTTCCTTCTCGCCTGCCTGCCTACCTGCTTGCCTGCAAGATGAGGTTTCTGTGTGCTCAGACTGGTTTCAAACTCCTGGGCACTAGTGACCCTGTCACCTCACCTTTATGAGCAGCTGGGACCTCAGGCCTGCCCCGCTGCTCCTGGCTAACAGTTTCCCTGGTACCATAAGATACAGTTTCTGTGATAATCACCCAGCGTTGGCTTATCATTTGTCTGAATCAGGATCCACATAAGGCTGTTGATGCATTGCGATGGTCGGTCTATCTCTAGGTTGTGGTCATTGGCATTGGCGTCGTGGCCACTGCTGTCGTCATTTTTCTCTTCCTCAGTGTTGATTTCTCTTCTGACAGTTTTTGTAGTTGCTGCTACTGGAGAGCCAGGTCGTTTGTCCTGCACTTTCCCTATCCAGCTCTGCAGGGTGTGCTGCCCTGAGTGGAGATTTTCCAGGGTTGGGGTAGCTGGACCTGGCCTTACCTGTCACAGGAAATAGGTTAGTGCCTGGGAGTTTGTCTAAGGAATCCTTTTCAAGTGTGAAGTTGCTCTTCTGGTTTCAGCTCTCTGCACCCAGGCCCGGGTCTTTCTTGGCAGCGGGCACTGTTTCTCAGATCCAAGGGAGGGCTCTTGTGTGCATTCTTTCCCAGTGGTGGAGGGCATCATTTGGCTGCATCTGCCCTGCCAAGATGGGCGATACCAGTAAGTCCTCCCAAGCCTCTGCTGGATGCCTTGCCCATCTGGTATCTCCGGTGTGACATTGGTGTTCAGGAGAGGCCGCAGGAGTGCAGCTACCCTCTCGTGGACCCCCTTCGTGGACCCTGTGCCGCCATGCCCATCCTCTCCTTTTTCAAGGTCCAGAAATGCCACTGGTCCGTGTCTTTGAGGCAGCGCCATCTGGTGCCAGGGCTGGCAAAGACTGTAGAGCCCAGGATCCTGATTAGTGAAATGAACAAAATGTTTGGATTCTCTTTTAACCCAATGCATGGTCCCCTTCAGAATGTCCTGGAAGTGATGCTGCTACTGTTCAAAGGTCAGCACTGGCGACTGTAACATTCTTGTGGCCCTCTAGCTCAGAGGAGGGCTTGCAGGATAGCACCAACCCAGAGGTACAGACTAGCTGGTAGCAAACAGGCAAAAAAACAGCAGCTGTGACAATGATGACTTTAGAGGGCTCAGCGTATCTCCCTATCATCTTTACCTGTTGATCTGATTTTTTTTTTTTTTTT